ACATTGATGCAATACGTCATAATCCACAATGATGTACTAAAGAGGTAATTTTTAAATAGAAGTAAACACTTTAATTTCCTACTTATTTTCACTCCGACTCAGTGCAGCATTCCCCAGTAGTTCAGCTGTGATGTCCCATCAGTTTTATCACTCTTCAATAGTCCAAGTGGAGGAAATGATGTTTTTCACTTATGGCTCCGTATTGATTTTTATGTGTGCGCCTTTGTGAAAGAGACAGTCTATATATAACGTGGGGTTCATGTCTGTTTTCACTCTCACTTGAATGAAGTCACAGAGTGATAATTAGGATATCCTACACCTCTCTGACCTCAGCAGCCACCCAGTTTAATGTGCCACAACAGAGATGTAGAGGATAGTTATTAAAGGAGTGTCCTCATGTCTCATGTCCTCATTATCTTCAGCATGTTGTTTGCACATAGAGATCTGTCACCGTTCCATATTCTCCTGTAAAAATGTCTTTCCTTTTGTTCTCCTGTGTTTTCTAGCTGTTCCTGTTCCAGTTACTGAGAGGCCTGTCCTACATCCACCAGAGGTACATCCTTCACCGCGACCTGAAACCACAGAACCTGCTCATCGGCGACACTGGAGAGCTGAAACTTGCTGACTTCGGTGAGTAGGCTGGATGCTGATGCTCTTTTTTTTCTGTGTATCTGTTACATGTAAGAGTGAATATCCCCTCTGTTCTACAGTTCTGATATCATGTCAAAGGAAGCAGCGTGATGATAACACAATCTCTGTTGAACTTCTCAGTACTCATATGGAGCCATTTTGATCAGAATAAATTGGCATTTATTGTTGTCATTGTGTTTTTACATCAGAATCAAGTTGTATTCTTAGTTATTTTTTATTTCTTATTCATCAGATATTTTATATTATATTTTATATTTTATACACCACCGTAGCTTTAAAGAAACAGTGAAGTCCAGTGTTCTAATCCTGTGTTCCTGTGTAAATTGTTTAGTCATCTCTTGCTCAATATCTTTTTTTGTATCAAAATCACTCTCGTTTCTCAATTAATTATTTTTTGCAATTACTTTTAGCCCAGTTGCCTGGAAAAGAATGTTGGCAATGTATGTTTTTGTGCAAACCACGGATACGTTGAAGGTTTATTGGATTTCAGCTGGCAAAAACATTGTTTTCATTTCCATCCTCCTGATCTAACAAAGCAGGTGAGGGTGAAGAGTTGTCTGCAGATCCGTTTCTTGCTGCGCATACATAACAGGATCACTTGAAGTGGACCAATCTTTCATCATCTATGTCTGTCATGCAACTTGTGAACGAACCCAAGGCAGATTATTGAAAGTTGTGTCCAGCATGTAGTCCGCCATGTTCTAAGCATCTACGAGGCATCAAAATCACCTCAAAGACACAGATATCGTGCTGACTGATCCCAGAATAATGGGATTCTTGGAGAAAGACCTGCCGTTTTGAATGGCTTTTGTTGTACTGTTTGGCCCGTTTTTATGATCTGTTGGTCCAACCATCTGTCCAACACTTTGGCCAAGATGACAAAGTCTTGACAATAAGGTGACCCCTTGACCTTTTATTCACTTTGTCTTTCATCGCATGCCAGAATTCCCACATGTATGCAAGACATCAAAATCAATCAAATCTATTTTGTGTAGTGTTAGGAACCCCTCCTGAAGTGGCACCATATGGCTTGGATCCATGCAATGTAAACACCGCCTACGTGGCCTGTCTGGCATCATTAGGAGCCAGACTAACTGGCAATCCAGCCTTCTGTTCCATCCATCCATCCATCCATCCATCCATACACATCTATCCAGTTTCATATCCCTTTTTCTATTTCCTACCTGATTCCTAACTCCCTCAGACCTTCCCTCCCCTTTACCATCCATCTCCTTACCCCTTCATCCCTCTGCTAAGATAGACTGGGGGAGGGAGAAGGTGGCAGCTTCATCAATAATGCAAACCATGTATTGGTTCGGAAACATTACTGCAACGGGAATGAGAAGGAGAACATAATGGACAAAATACCAAATGAGCAAGAATGAAAGTCCCTGGTCTATTAGTCTGTCACTGGAACTCATCAACAAACATGCACAAAACACAGAATCAGCCTTTGCCTGAGGGATGCCAGATGAGGAAGGTGTGTGTGTGTGTGTGTGTGTGTGTGTGTGTGTGTGTGTGTGTGAGAGAGAGAGAGAGAGAGATTGTGTGGCTGCCAGGGCTCCCTGTGGTCCCGGGCCTTGGCAGCAGGAATACTAACGGCCGACAGCTGAGGCCTGTGGCGCTGGTTGGGGTAAATGAGAGAGATGAAGGGCGAGTGTCAACAGAGGAGGGGCTGAGAGGTACAATAAGAGGTGGCAGAACACAAGCTGTGCAGTGAAATGATGGAGTGTACAAAGAGGAATAGATAAGGGTTGGCTGTAATGAAGACATTTATTAAGATGGGTTATGGGTGAACTGGAAAATGAAAGTAGATTATATTAGATTAAATAAAACTTAGTTTTCCCAGTCCTTGATTTTCTTTCGTCCTTTGGCGCTCATCAGTGCTTTTTCTTTGGCAGTAGGAGACTTTTCCCATCCACCTCCTTATGGCAACAACTACTCTACCACGGACGTTGATAATGGCTATTCATGGATAGTTAGGCACGTTCCATCAACTGGTTTGGAGAGAATTAACTAGGCTACAGTGTAGTTAACCAGCAATCTGGAAGAAATGGAGAAGCTGATGAGCTGAAGTGCTACGAGCATGACGTAACACTGGAACAGTTGGACCAGTTACCTCAACATATAAGTCTATAGTTGGTGCTATAGACTTTGCTTGGCTGTAATTCACCAGTAAAAAGTCGAAGAAGTGGAACTTGCAGAACAGGAAACCAAACATCTAACTGATTTATGAAAGAAAAATGGAGAGCTCTTCAAGAATTTATTTCAATTGTGCAAGTTTTGATTATTCTTTCATTTCAGCTACTATTGGTCATGTGTTCATGGAGACAAGTATGTGTGCACTATAGTAGTATCTGGTGTTAGCATGCGGATGTTAACAGCTGATCACTCATGTGAGTTAAATGTTAGCTATGTCAGAACTTATTCAGCAAAGGTGTTCCATAATCCATTTAGCGCATCAACTCTACTACCACCTCAGATGAACGTGTAAGCGTTTTGCAGTAATTGAGGAAGTTTGATCAAATATTGCCGTTTCCATACAGTTTTTCTAGTACTTTACCTCAAAATGTGCATACAAATATGTGAATAGAAACACGGCTAATGATTCTTAAAGTGTAACTCCACACTACATATTGTATGGAAGCTTTGCTGCATTGACACTTGATATGGTGAGGGATGCCAGATGCGGAAGGTGTGTGTGTGTGTTACATTTTTTGAAGCTGGGTGTGGTTAGTTGTGGCCTGGTGTACTTGGACCAGACCCAGTGATGGTTTATTAAATGTGCAAGTGAATATCACTGCAGCTGGATTATTTGCTCTTTAATGACTTTGGCAACCCCCTGGCCTCTAGTACCAAGCAGGTCAATGTTTTTAATAACAACCAATGCTTAAAACCATGACAAGGTATTTAAAATACTTCTCCTGAACCATTCTGTACAGGATGTTCGGTTCGGTATGCAACATTCTTTTGGTATGCCTGGTGTCCCAACTGTCAAAATAGTCTATTAATGTCTACTACTCGCACGTGCGGAACATAAATTCTAGAGCGCGAGTTACTCGGAAAGCGGGTAGCAGCACTGAAGTATGCTAGTCGGCAAAGCCCGGTTAGTCAAGCTCAATGTTATATTTGTGGATATACTTCAAACATTGTGGATATACTTCAAACATTTTTATTTTCAACAGAATCAACCGAATGTGTCAGTTATGAATGAAACAAAAACAGACTGGAAGGCGAGTCCTTAACCAAAAAGCGTTCAGGCTGCCTCCCACTGCAGATTCAGACCCTGAACAATGCTTTTAGTGCTGTTTATTGGTGAACCCTGCGTCCTGCCCAGTACATGTAGGGATAGGCTCCAGCCCCTGCTACACCACACTTAGCAGGGAGGGCTGATTTCTCATCAGCTACAGTGGCCAGAGCTTCATATCCCTGCTGCTGGTTGTGGAGTCGATCCAGATGCTCCCCTCTGCTCCTCTGTGGATTGACTCACTTTTTAATGAGCTGCACAAACAACCAACACATAAATGAGGCTTCGAGGAGCTCACGTTTCATATCAAGGACGCAGCTAATTGAGGCTGACTTAAGCAACGTGTGGGCGGAGATTTGTATTGTTTGTGTAGAGGAGCTATGTGGACCATAATGACTGCATCACTTTCTGAACACACACACAAGACCTACAGTACTTAAAGTGAATCCTGTATGAACCTACAGTACCATAAAGTGGAGGGGGCATTTCATGTTTGCTCATTCAAAAATCTATTAAAGTGAAATTAAAAACACAGATTAACACATAACTAAACTAGTAAAAAAAACAAAAATCTAATTAAATCAAAAGTGAGAAGCATTAGAGTGTAGATGATTTAAAAGACACGTGGATTTGTGTGGTTTACTATTCTACAGTTGCCCACTTACTTATCATTTACATCACACATGATGGATAGTCTAAAAAAAACAGGACCAAAATCGATGCAGCAGAACAGGAGATGTCGGTTTTTTTTATTCCATGCATTCTTCTTCCCTTTCAAAACCTGGTGCCTACATTACCCACAATGCAACTCCAATGCCAACAGCTGGCTGCAAAGTACGTGGATATACTGTCAGGCTCACTTTCTCTGAACCCCGGTAAGCTGTCTAGGTTTTCACTTCTAGTTGTGTTACGGAGCAGTGTGAGCCCCAGTTTTGTTTCTATTGTGTGCACATACAAGAACACTTAGGCTATTGCATGTTCCCACATATATTATGCTGGACATAGTACACTTTTGCCGATTGATTTATGTTCATTATATCCACTGAGTGACAGTCTGTGATGGTAAAGATCCAAGAAAGGCAACAAAGGCAGGGAAGTGTAACTGCTTTTATTTAAAGGAAAACTTCACAGGGTACCTTTTAATGTGAATATTGGTCACCTCAGGACAAAATGAGTTCACTAACATGTTTCAGCACTTCAGATAGCCAGTTCTTCAGTAGGATTTAAGGATTGCTACTGCCACATTCATGTCACGTTACTGTGAATATGTTTTTTTAATAAATAAAAAAAATCCACATTACACACAGTCCATCATCATTAAAAGTGGTATGTATGTATGGATGTATGGATGTACGTACTTTATTTTTTTAATATACCTTCCGGGAGCCACACTCGCATGCTGGCAGCAAGCGCACATTGTCGTCACACAAAAAATGACTTCAGCCTTGAGACAATTTTCTGATGACAAACCCCTAATTATAGAAGCAATTGAAGCAGCAGATAATCATTGCTCATAGCCCACATACTCCAGGGCCTCACGAGAGCCTGAATGTGCTCACAGTTGGGATGAACCTGCTGAAAGGCTGCTTGTGTTTGCACTCAAACACTGAAGCATTGCCATATGCTGTCAGTGTCCATCGCCAGCCTGGAGCACAGCGGCCAGAAACCTAATCTGAGGTTCATTCACTCACAAAATGACCGAGCTGTGTGTGTTTGGGACTCTGTCCATGTGAGATATGTTCCAGACAGTTCGGGAAGCTAGGTCAGGTTTCTGGCTCGTTGAAGAGGTGGGGACTTCTGGATCAGAAGCAAGGTCCCAGGTCCTCTCCAGTGACCTAGTCAGCCAGTTGTACCCACTCACACTACAAAGTGACTTGTTCTTAGCCATGCTAGTGGCATGGCTCTAGGGATGCCAGTGTTGGTCCGCTGGTTTGTAGGTCCACTTTAGTCCGGACTAAAATATCTCCGCAACTACTTGATGTATTACATTCTCTGATTTCTCACTTTGGTTTTTGACCTGACACTTTGAAAACTGATGACATTCCCAACAGCCTTAGCTGTACTTTGTGTTTAGACCTAATTAGCAAATGTTAACATGCTAACACTTTAAGCTAAGATGGTATTAGCATGCAGATGTTAACATTTGCTAATTAGGTCTTAACACGATATACAGCTGAGGCTGATGGGAATGTCATTCGTTTTCAAAGTATTTGATCAAAAATAAAGTGAGAAATCGAAAAACGAACCCGATACTTTCAAAACTAATGGCATTCCCATCAGCCTCAGACCTGATAAGCAAATGTAAACATGCTAACACAATAAACTAAGATGGTGAACATGCTTAGCACTGTCATTTTGAGCATGCTAATAGACTGTGGACTAGTGGAAGTGCATCAGCATTACAAAGAAATACATGCCAAGTGGTCAATAACATTCTCTTGCAGTAAATCTAGGGATCTGCTGAGAATCATTCCAGATTGTCACAACTTGGGCCTTTCCATCATGTATTTCAGGTTCGATAACATTGTACTGTAGTTAGTTGCCGGGATCAAGGAATATGGCAGCATTGCTAATATTGAGTCAGTTGGGGAATGTAATACTTTTAGCTGTGAAAACCCAGAATCATCAGTCTTGCAGAAGAACAAAGCAATCAAAAGTGACAATTATTCAGTGACTCGCATATGAGAACAAGAGGGGATGGTGAATGAAATGCCTTTCTTTGGGGTAATGTGTTAATATCTGTATGAATACCGTATAAACATACATTTTGATTGGACCCGACAGCTCCTGAAAACCAACCATAATACATTTTCTTGAAGCATGATGGCAACTGCAGATATTTCTGTGTTAGCACCACATAGTGTTTGGGTCAAGGCCTCAACATGGTCCCTGTAACAAACAGCACACCGTCTCCCATGTAGCTATAGGCACTATCTTCGATAATCATTGTTTACATAATGTATTGGCAAGTCTCATCCTTGCAGGAGCTGGCAATGCTTTAGTATTGAGGGGGCTCTAGAAATGGAAAACAATCTATAATATAGATAATCGTCGGGCACTCTATTTCTCCAACATGCTTGCCACACGGGAGAAGTTTCGGTTGGTTGCAGTCCAAACCTAACCACTAAATATTACACACTGGCCATAATACTAGCACTGTGAATAGGAAGGCTAACAGGAAGGACTCTATCATTGTTGAAACAATGACAGCATTTTGTCATTGTACAGCAATTGTGTTGAAGGGCTATGATGATTATTTTTGATAGATCTGCTGATTATTTTCTTTCAAGATGATGTATTCATGAAGCTGTTTTTTTTCAACCCAATGTCCTTAACCAATATATATTCAGTTTGCTATGACGTATCATATGCTGTAATCGGCAAAAGATGCATTATATCACACATTTTAGAAGCTGGAAGTAGGGTATTAGTTTGGAATTATTTGCTTTCAACAAAATTGAACAAAAGCTTAAATTTTTTTAAATGTTGCTTTTCTGAGCTAGCTAATGTATACTGATGTGTGCGTTTATTTTCTGGGAAGTTGATGTTACGGTGCTGTGAAGTAACAACTGCTGGGATAATGATGTGTGAGGAGTGAAGCAATGTGACAATGGAGCTGGATGAATGTCGCAGGCACCCGGACCAGACTGTTTGGCTCTCCACCACACAGCTCCTTGCCCGTG